TATAGCAATACGATTGCTCTACTTCTTTCCTAATATACTTCACTAACGTTTTTACCATCAACATGCTTCCATAAGATCATTATATGTCCCAACAATATTTATGTCATTTACATAGATAGAAATAATGCAATACACACTTAAGTCAAGAAAATCAAATATCTACTATACTAATAAGAGCCCAAGAGAGTTAGGCCTATAATGGGTAGAAAAAATGACAGTCAAATTTTTTAATCAAATGAATGGCTCAGATTGATTAGATTTTAATTTTTCCTTAAGATTTCATAATTTATCCTTAATGAATATGATTATCCGTTAACTTTTCCGTTAAAATTGTCTTTTCCGTTAATTTCTGTTAGTACACCGTTAACTTACTCATTGATTTCAATAAGAAAGGTCTTATGTTCAAACCACATCCCAATCAAAGTTGGCATAATTAGTACTCTATTTTATTCTTATTAAATTAAATAATAATTTAGTAGCTACAACAAAAAATAATACATATGCATTTCTTTAATTTAGAATTATGTGTCTACAATGTCTTTATTCAAAAAAAAAATAATTATTTATTATCAATAAATTAAATAAGATAAATAATTTCATTAGTTATATTGTCTTTATTTTTCTCCAATATAAAAATTCTTTACATTCAAATTCATCAATTGATTATATTCGCTACATTGTCCCTACAATGTCTTTAATTCTTTATTTTAAAAAAAAAAAATTATTCATTATCAATAAATTAATTAAGAAAAATAATTTTATTAGTTATATTGTCTTTATATTTCTCCAATGTAAAAATTCTTTACATTCAAATTCATCAATTGATTATATTCACTACATTGTCTATTATTTTTTTTTGTGCATTATTTTTTAATTAAATATCAAAGTTATCATACAAAATAATGTTATATATTTATTTACCAAGTATTTTTATTAATAACATGAAAAAATTAAAAAAAATATATAATTAATAAAGCCAATCATATTAACTACTTGAGGGATTTGTTGACAAAGAGAGTATTCAAATCACACAACAAATTGAAGTGAGAACTACCTCGCAATGTCTTTGTTTAACAATCAGCAGTTAGCTAACGGTTAGCGTTAGCGAATTTGACCAGTGAATTATATCAACGGTTGGTAATAAGATATTTGAAAAAATTAACTGTTTAGATTAACATGAAAAATGACCTAAGAGTATACATATATTTAATAATAATAATAATAATAATAATTGTTTAAAAAAATAATTAAGCCAATCATATTAACTACTTGGGAGATTTATTGACAAAATGAGTATTTAAATCACACAACAAATTGAATTTGGAAACTACCTCGCAATGTCCTTGTTTGGCAATCAGCAGTTAGTTCTTCAATATTAGTATATATTTAAGATTTTACACCCTAATTTTTATTTGCTCTCCCTTATGTCTCGTAGTATTTGGTTTCAACCAAACCTATACAATTTTTTTATTGACAATTATAATCAATCTTGACTATATTATCTTGCATTTATAAACTTAGAATTGACTATTTAAATATGTAAATTTAACATTCAATTATCTACGCATGAACAATTCCAATATAATCTTGTCTTGATATATTTTAAAGTACTTATTTAAAAAAAAAAAAAAAAGATTGTGCATTATTCCAATCACGCAATGCGCATAAAAAAATCTAGTGCGACGGACAAACCGAGATGACTGAATTCTACTATAAATAAAATGAGAAATAGAAAATGGAGTATCCAACTGAATTCTAAATACCTACAGACTGGCTACAGTTTGTCCCCAAATAAAACAAGAAAACGAGCGTTTGGTTTGCACTTTGCATGATTAAAAAAGCAAATTCCGACCTGCCGGATTCGAACCAGCGACCTAAGGATCACCTGTTCGGTTGAACACCAATTAAAAAATGCTAAATTACTAATAGCCAACATGGACAACATAGTAGAAGATGAAGATTCCAAATAATATAAAGGTGTTGGTCAAGACCAAATTGGCGAAGAGGAGAGTGGGCACGGCAACAATTGAGATTTTGGATGAGTTTAGTTTACTAGTTCAGTAGATAATATTTTGAGAGACAAATTTGAAATTAATGGAAAGTATGTTAAACTCTAGAGACAAATTTAATAAGTTATAGTTTCCATTAAAAAATAAAAATATAAAATTTGATATTAAAAAATTTGATACAAGCTCGAAAGAGAGAAATTTAAGAACAATGAAGGTATACAAAATGTAAGCACTCCATAGAATAACAATTATACAACAAAATCTACATTCATTATACAAGTAGGCAAACAATCCATTATAGTTTCCTACATTACAGTTAGAATACATGGTTATTCTACATAAAAATACATGACATATTAGGAGTTACAATTCCAGGGATGAGAATGTGAGAAACATGTGAAAAAATAAACAACGAAACTCGAATGAGATACATGACAAAGGCGTGATATACACTTAAATCAAGAAAATCGAATATCAAGTAAGAGCTAAATGCGACGATCAGAACGAGATGAACGAATTCTGCTACCTACGCTTGAACCGTATTTCCTAAGATTAATTAATAATGACACACTTAACTTGTTTTGCAAGGAAGTCTCGATTGAAGAGGTAAAGAACGCGTTGTTTGACATGGCCCCATACAAAGAGCCAAGACCGGATGATTTTCATGCGGGATTCTATCAAAAAACTTGGAACAAAGTTGGTAACAACCTTTTTAAGATGGTCATTGATTTCTTAAATACTGTCAGAATGCAAGGATTGGAACGATACACTGATTGTCCTAATTCCTAAAGTCAATCAATCAGTTTATCTAATGTCAAGTACAAAGTCATAACGAAGGTCCTTACTAATAGACTTAAAGACCTCATGAAGGAAGTAGTTGGAAAGGAACAAAGTAGTTTTGTGCTAGGGCGCGGAATTGTGGATAATATCATATATGGTTTACCAAGAACTAGTGCACACTATAAGAACTAGGAGGGGTGGACAAAAAATAATAGTTATGAAAATTGACCTAGAGAAAGCTTATATTATGATAGACTCTCTTGGAGCTATATCCGATATACTCTTAAGGAGCTGGGAATCAATGACCACTGGACTAATGTTATCATGGAATGTGTGGAAACCCCCAAGGTTGGAATTCTCTGGAAAGGCTCACAATTCGAGTGGTTCAAACCTATGAGAGGATTAAGACAAGGCGACCCTATCTTACCTTACCTGTTTGTATTGTGCATTGAAAGATTAAGTCAAATGATAAAGGAGGAAGTGAAACAAAAAAGGTGGAGGGGTGACAAACTTTCCAGGTATGGCACTGAACTAACTCACTTGTTATTTGTTGATGATATGGTTTTAATTGCAGAGGCATTCAAGGATCAAATTAGGATTGTGAAACATTGTCTTAATCTCTTTGAACTTATTTATGGGCAAAAAAGTGAGTTTGCAAAAGTCCCAAATCCATTTTTTCAAGAATGTTGAGCCTTTAATTTATTGGCTTATCGTATCACTTAAGAGGCCGGGATTGACAATACTGACCATATAGGAAGGTATTTGGGCCGGGAGTGCCATCCGTACATGGAAGAGTCACTCGTAGCTGGTTTACCCAACCCCCCTCCCCCCCCCCCGCCCCCCCTGGACAAAATAGATTCAAAATTTGAAGGTTGGAAAGATAAACATCTCACCCTTGCAGGACGCACCGTGCTTGCCAAGAGTGTATTGAGCGAATGAGCGCAATCATGTTCTAAGTTCTATACCATGCAAACAATGGATAAACCCTAAAGGAGTGTGTGACAATATTGAACGGGAAATTCGCGCGTTTGTTTGGGGTGAAGGACCCCACTTGGTGTGCTGGGACACTATTACTTTGCCTAAAGAAAATGGTGGGTGGTCTTGGCTTACGCAAATTAAACGACATGAATCTGGCGTTGTTAGCCAAATTGGGTTGGAGAATCATTAAGGATAATGGCAGCCTCTGGACTAAAACGCTAGTGGCTAAATATACGCGTGGCAAAAAAGATGCTCAAAGGTTCAAATGGAGAACAGGTGGATCGAATCTCGGAATAAGGGTCAAATAGGCCAAAATATATATATATATATATATATATATATATATATATATATATATATATTCTCCTTGTTGGAAAAAGAAAACACAGAAGATTACCAAAGGGAAAGAAATACCAGCAGAAGTTCTCTTCCATACACTCTTTATTTTCCAAATACCTACAGTTTGGTTTGCACATGGCATGATTAAAAGTTAAAATCCAACCTGCCCGATTCGAACCAGCGACCTAAGGATCACCTATTCTATAAACAACCGACTACAGTCCTCCGCTCTACCAACTGAGCTAAGGTCGGTTGACGTTAATTTTCAATATACAAATATATTATACTAGTTTGTAGGACATCTTACTATATAAAATAGCCACACAAGGAATCCACAATAGAGCCAAATTCCCGCTCAAACGAAAACGGCAGTCGTTTTAGAGGTTACAAATATATATATATATATATATATATATATATACTACGATGGTGCATTTAAATATGGTCATGAATAGTAGGGCAGTAGGCTGTGACCGTTTGCTTTAATAAAATATTTTTATTAAATACTTCTAGAAACGATTCGTTATCCAATGTATTGGATTTACAATTTTTTTCCAAATTTCATTAATTACACTACGATTCAAATATCTATCAGAATTTTTGTTTAATATATCCCATTCAAGAGGATATTTTGCTGCTTCGTATTCTGAAATCATAAATAATGCAAAATACATTTAAATCTTAGACAACTTTTACAATCTTCAAGACTAACATTAAATATACATAATAAATTTGTATAAACCTAGAACAATATAAATAAGTCCTCAGAATTCAAAAGACAAAACATGTTCCTGGAGAGTGGAGGAAAAGGGTGTGGCTGAGGAGGAAGTTGGGAAAGCATCCACAAGGAAGACAACATTTACTTGAAGATTGAGGTGCGTTTAAGGCTAAGAAATGAGAACACCTGCACATTTGCTTGAAATATTTGAAGCACTGTTGGTGAAAGTAAGGTATTAATTTGCTGAACAGCTAATCTTTCTACTTCTAGCTATGTAGAACTTCAAAATATAGAAATAAAAAATATGTTTAACATATAGTCTTTTTCCTTTCAATATCATGCCATTATCTATAAAATATTTATTGGTATTTTTATGCTATAATCATATATATAATCAATTAAGTCAGATGACATGGAAATAGTACATTATGCAACAAGAAAAAGATCTAATTTCTAGGATCATTGTAGAGGATAGAGATGATGACTCTGATTTGGTAATAGCAGTTTATTTTTATCTCTTATTGTATAAATGTTGTTTGTTTGTTTTTATTTTTCTTTTGGATTTAATCATGTTTATATTTAAAATAGAGGAAAATCTGTCCAGGAACTCTAAACAGATGGAAAGGAAGCAGGAAGCTCTACATTTGGCAAGTTCAAAAATTGTGAATTTTCTGATTATGGTTGTTTCAATTTTCTGAAATGAAAGAATTAAAAATACAGAAAAAGAAAAAGTAGAAGCAACGGTAAACTTGAAAAATTCGAGTATTTATGGCAGAGGAGCTGGAGTACAAGTTTATTGAAGTTTGAAAAATAGTGAAAAACATTTTTGAAATTATATGGAGTAGAAATTAGGCTCAGATTTGGTAATGGAGAAACAATACCGCCATGGCTGCAGACCGGGAGTTTGCCCCGTGTTGGATCCCTCCATCCCGATGAACTGTAGAAAAATCATCATCAACCCAGCCTGCATGACCAATAATAATAATAGCTGAAACAACAACACAAGCATGAACAGAAAACAGTTGATCTGAAGGTTCAAGCCGAATCTAGCGTGTATAATTTCACTGCAAACCCGAGGTTTAATTAGATCATCAATGGCTTCCCATAAGATAAGCCGTAAAAATTTCATAGCTTTGGAGTTGATGAATGGTGAACTAAACTAAATCTATTAAACAAATCTATAGATTCAAGATGAGATGAAGGAGTTTACAGTGTACCATCCAGATTCGAATGCATGCAATTATCCCCTTAAACCAGAAAATTTTTCAATTTGAGAAAAAAAAGTACCAATTTTATGACCATCAGATCAGACCCATATATCAAACAAACCTGAGTCTTGGATTTTCCAGATCTGGTAGGCCATATTCATCTTCTTCAATCTAATATACCTGACAAAACAACTCAGGCAGTTGGAATTTCTGGATTGCTTCTCAGAGATTAGCTAGGAAATAAAGCAGTAGAGGTAGATCTCCAAAGGAAAATTCGTAGTGTGTAAATCACTAAACTTAGCTTAAGTATAGTGAGGAATGTCTAGATAATGCTTAGTTTGTGAGCTTAGTAGAGGCGAGATGCAGAGGTACAGTGAGTGAAGAGTGAAGATGATTCTTGAAACTAAGCTATTGTACTTTAATATTGTACTTTAATTGTGAAATAGAATTTCAATATGAAATTCAAATATTCCTAATTCCAAATTTAATAATATTGCAATATTACAAATTTTAATAATTTGTAATATTAATTTTAATAGTTTGTAATTTACGCTAAGATTATATTAATTTTTTTTTTTTGGAATAAGATTATATTATGTTTTATGATGCCTTACTTTTTATAATAATTAGTGGTACATATATTCCTAATTAACTACTCCTTTTTTTCATATAAAAATGTGAATAAAAAATACTAACTAAAGAACATTTAATAAACTTTAACAATGAATATTTATACATACATTGTTACATTAGTATTTTATGTATATGTAATTTGCATAATTATGATTATATTGTAATTAGATTTGAATTATTTAAATTCAAAATTTTCTAATTCGGTGTGGTATTTAATAATACAATGTTTAATAAAATTTTCTAATTCGGTGTGGTATTTAATAATACAATGTTTAATAATATTTTTTGTAAAATATTGTGACGATTAATAGAAAATAAACATTTTAATATTGTAAGAAAAAAAAAATATTTCGTAATGAATTTTGAGACTTAATACTTAATTATATCACTACTTTTTTTAAAAAACCTTATCTGCAAAATATCAAATTTACATTGAATGATATACTCACACCATCTATTAAATATCATATACACTGAATTAATAGATTTATACTATATATATACTTATACAATTGATTGTATTCATACCATGCATCACACATGTGACATACACTTGGTTATGACACCATCAGATTTAAGATTGTCATTTAATTTTTAAAGAAGACAATTAAAGGTCAATGACAAACACTATCACATGTTGTTTACAACGATATTTTTAATAATTTGTAGATTTTAGTTTTTTTTTTGTTTATTGAACTCTGAATGCATTTATATATTTTAAAAACATATAATTTTTTATGCAGTGTTAAGATATTATATTTGAAAACAATACATTTCATTGTATATTTACTTTTGCATGACTATCAATAAAAATTTATGGCAAACATTATCTCATGTTTGATTGTTATTGAGGAAACCGGTTTTTGTCCATGGTCAAATATATTTCGTAATGAATTTTGAGACTTAATACTTCATTATATCACTTCTTTTTTTAAAAACCTTATCAGCAAAATATCAAATTTACATTGAATGATATACTCACACCATCTGTTAAATATCATATACACTGAATTAATAGATTTATACTATATATACTTATACAATTGATTGTATTCATACCATGCATCACACATGTGACATACACTTGGTTATGAAATCATCAGATTTTTTATTGTCGTTTAATTTTTAAAGAAGACAATTAAAGGTCAATGACAAACACTATCAATGTAGTTTAGAGTTAGAAATTTCAATGGTCTCAAAATTTTGATTTGTAGTGACTCTGAAAATTATAATTCAACTACTAATGTAGTTTACTAAGTCCTTAAGATTTTGTAATTTTAAATACTTTGTGTTAAACTTATAACATAATTTATTATTTTTAGTAATTAATAATCTTAAATATCAACTCTTAATTTAATTACAAAGTATTATGTTCATAACTTTATTGTAGCAAATCAACATAATTATTAAATAATAACTTTACAAATGAATAAACTTCATATTTCCTTTTTTATAATTTTATATATGAAATTTAGTATTTAGTAATATTATAATAATTTTAATAACATAGCATAATTATAATATTTTAAATCTTTAATCCGTGCATCGCACGGGTACCATACTAGTTAAAATTGAAACACCAATTTAAAAAATGCTAAATTACCAATAGCCAACATATGGAGAACATAGTACAAGATTAAGGTTCCAAATAATATAAAGGTTTCTTGTGGAGAGTGAAAAATGATGATTTATTGGTGAAGAGGAGAGTGGGCACGGCAACACATTATTATATTTTTAGTGAGGAAAGTTAATATATTTTTCGTGTTCTTCATCAATTGAATTTTTTGTTGAAATTGTCCGTATGAGTTTAGCTCACTGGTTTAGTAGACAGTATTTGGAAGAAGAAAATAAGATTCAAAATTCGATAGTTGCAGTGTGAAGATTTTGTCCAAAGTGAACAAATTATTTGTGCGCACCGACATTTGACCATATCTGCTGAGTCATTGAGTTAACTTGATTTACATCCCCTCACATACTCGTCGAGCCGGAGCGGGAGAGCCTTTGGAGTTCGGAATTCAACCTTTTGATAGAAGATTTTGTTGAAATTAATGAAAAGTATGTTAATGTCATGCCCCACTTCTAGGACATTAACCGGTCGTATCATTACGTGAAAACCTGTAACAATACGAAGCCTAACCATACATACCTTTCAGAACCTTCATAAAAACACTTGAATGAATAATAATTCCACAATCCAATATGGCAAAATATAAACAACTATTTCTTCCCAAAAACTTATCAAATCACCACTATTAAATATTACAATCAAGAGTAGTATGTACAAATCCCTAATATTTTCAAACATCAATCTTAGAGCTCCAATGATAAACCCAACTCAAAAAGAGTGAGATATGAAGGTCAAACTCACCTAGAATACTCCAATAACTTGAGACCTATGTTTGAAGATGATGGAGATCAAAGCTTCAAGGTTTTTCCTTTCCCTATCTCTCTAGTCAATCTCCCTTATCTTCTTTTAAATGAGACGTTTATCCAAGACCAAGTGATTCCTTAACGTTTAAGGGTAAGGAAGTGTAATTTAGTAATTTTATCCAATATCAAATTTTAATAAGTTTTGACTTATTAACCTCATTTAATAAACATAGATGTATTTTCATTTCTAAGATATAGTGGGTATGTATTTCACTTAAACTCTAGAAAGAGACAAATTTAACAAGCAATAGTTTCCATTAAAAATGTAAAATTTTGATACAAGCTGCTTGCAATATATATATACATATATATATATATATACATATATATATATATATATATATATATATATATATATATATATATATATATATTGATACAAGCTAGAAAGAGAGAAATTTAAGAAGAAATAATTAGAAGGTATACAAAATGTAAGCACTCCATAAAATCACAATTATACAACAAAATCTACATTCATTATACAAGGCAAACAACCCATTATAGTTTCCTACATTACAGTTAATGGTTATTCTACATAAAAAAATACATGACATTAGGAGTTACAATTTCAGGGATGAGAATGTGAGATACATGTGAAAAAAAATTGAAAAAAAATGAAAATCTAACGAGATACATGACAAAGGCATGATACACACTTAAATCAAGAAAATCGAATATCAAGTAAGAGCTAAATGCCACGACCAGAACGAGATGACCGAGTTCTGCTACCTACGCTTGAACCGTCTTTCCTCCACATCGCCTCAAAGTTATGAAAGCATTTCAATGGTCTCACCTGTTTATATATATATAGGAATAAGTATTCACTCATTAAGAACTATAAAGAGCTATGGCAAACCAAAAGGCGTTGACTCGAGACTCGAGAAGAAAGGATTTTAGTCATTTAAGTATGAGGTCGGGGGTTCTTGCCCTCGGGAGACCCGTTCTCGGGTGGCACCCGACCAATCAATTCGGTTAATCTCATTTCATAGGATAAGAGGAGCTATGGCAATTACCTTCCAGTGCCTCTTGTGGCCAAATTTGTTGTATATGGACTCCAGCCTGGGTATAATTTGCTTGAACGTAGGCCGTTGGGATGGCTTCTCGTTCCAACATTCCTCGATTAACCTGAAAAGTCACGGATAACCATCGAGTGAAAACAAGTTTAAAACTTTCCTCTCGAGGATAGTGATACAATGCGACACTCACTCTTTAAGCCCGTGGGCATAAAACTTTGCAGATGCTTTAAAAGGCGGGCGCTGTTTCGCAGCATATGATTTAGGCACTTCATTGTCTTTCTTTGCGCGAAAAGGAGGACAGCCTTCGATCATCTAAACCACAGCAACACGACAAAGATCAACTTATCAAGACAAAAGTTCATCCCGAGTAGTTATTATATAAAGCTGAACTTGTTACTTGTCAAAGTATACGAAAGTTCACCTCTTGTAAGATTAAAGCAAAGGAAAAAACGTCCACTTTGGTATCATACTCTTCGTTTTTGAAAACCTCTGGAGCTACATATCGACCTAGTCATTTAAACCGGGGAAATGGTTAGACAAGAATTCAGAAGAATGAAGAGTTAAACAAGAAATCTCGAAAAGCTAATAGCACTCACAAGAAGTCTCGTCACATGCCAGGGGTCTGTCCTCTCTAATAACCCGGTTTGTAACTTTCACGAGCTTGCTAACTCCAAAGTCAGCGACTTTCAGATGCCCAGTATCATCCCGCAAAACATTTCTGTTACGTAGCACAAAACATAGGCAAACAACAAAATACTTAGAAACATAAATTTGAGATTGGAATTCAAGGACAGAATTATTATGGAAAACCATACGAGGGCTCTAGATCACGATGAATGATTGCCTCGGGTTTGTTTTCATGCAAATAGTTCATCCCCCTGGAAGACCAAAAATAACTCATTAAAGACATTATTTACGAGACTGGAATAACATAGCTAATGTTATATATATGTATATACATAATCACAGATTGATATTTGATAATAGCAGAGTCGTAACGAACCTTGCAATGTCCATTGCAAATCTAAGAGCTTTTGTAGGCCTAAGTGGCCCATCAGTATCCAGAAAGGTACGCAAATCACCCTGGAAACAGATATCAAGAACATTACTTCAAATTACAGTTTAAGCCAAACAATCCAAGAGAAAACGCCCTTTGAAATGACAATTAAGAAATGATTTTTTTTTTATAACACTCTCTCGGGTAGTGTCAAAAGCTAGCCGAGAATAGTGAATACCTTTGGTAAATATTCCATCACTATCATCATCGGGCTGCTCTGGGTTACAGCGC